AGACTCCGTGTAACTGTATCCCTTTGTCTCAATGTCTAGACTTAATGCAAGGGATTAATAAAATCCAGCTTGTATCCATTAAGTCATTCACTGATTTGTCAAGTCTGACTAATAGGAACAGACATCATAAAAACATCTCAGCATGGCCATGCAATTTCCTCAGTCATGACTTATTAGTGGGCCCCATAAGACATTAATCTCTTTTAAAAAGAGTAGTGACAAATCCTATGTACGTAATCTACGTTTCTGAATACGCGCTGCAACATACCCAAAACAAAGCCTATATACCATCCTTATTTCATATGGCTTAGGACAATGCATCAAAGTATGCGGGTTCACATATGCAGAAAACGTAATACTTCAAGTCGAAGGATAGTTACACCCGTGGTCGCGCTAAAGATATTTAGAGCATGAACTAAAAGTTCAAGCAACATCTTTAGGATGGGTCAGTCCGGCATCCTATTATCTCTAGATAATATCTGCCCATGTGCGGATGCGAACACACCGTCATTGACTATGAGACTAATTCAAACATCCAACACACACTAGTCTCACATGCATTAACGATATCTCACTCTCGTTAATACTCGACTATGGACATTCAGATAAATGTTCATTTCAAGATGTTAGTCTCATCAGCAGAATAACACTATCTGATAAACATCTTTAAATATAAATCTAGGAATATAATATTTGTTTACATTAGCATGAGATGTGTAAACATATTATATCTGCCTATAGATGATAGAATAATGATAAATAGTTGGCCATCAGGGCACAACTCCAACACTAGGCCCAATATAGGATTTTATTTAGAAGAACCTAACAAACCAAGGATTGTAATTGGATTGCAATTGGAAATAAGTTCATACCTAATTAGTTTAACTATAGGGCAAGATGCAAAGCACAACTATAGTTAAATGTAATATGGACCTTGGCCCACTAAGATATCTCTTTAGGAGAAGTCTCGAATCAACATGTTACGTACCTGAGGGTAGTTGATTTGTTAAAATAGTGGGAGAGTTATTAGTTAAAGACCTAGCTAATTACTTAGATTCTTGATATTAACTATCTTACAAATTATATGTAGATGTCTAGTAACAACCATAACCTCACTCTTCGCTCGATTCTCGGCAAAGATAAGTTGACCGGCTCTAACTTCTTAGACTGGCAAAGAAACCTCGTTATCGTTCTTCGACTTGAGAAGAAAGAATATGTGCTCGAACAAACCATCCCACCTATCCCGGCCACCAATGCTTCTAGAGCAATCAAGGATACTTATGAGAAGCACGTTGATGATGACAATGAGGTGGCATGTCTCATGTTGGCTACGATGACTTCTGACCTTCAGAAACATCACGAGAGTCGAGAGTATGAAGGCGTACGATATGATCATACATCTAAGACAGCTCTACTAAGGACAAGCTAGGCATGAGAGAATCCAAATCTCCAAAGCTCTGTTTAGTTGTAAGTTGACAGTTGGAAACCCTGTTGGTCCGCATGTTCTCAAAATAATTGGCTACGTCCAAACTCTTGAGAAGTTGAGCTTCGAACTCAAGACTGAACTTGCAACTGATCTGATTCTGCAATCATTGCCTGAGTTGTACAAGCAGTTTGTGGTTAATTACGAGATGCATGAACTCGATAAACCACTGCAAGAACTTTTGAAGATGCTGCAAACTGCTGAAGAGAGCTTAAAGAAAGGAAAGGGGAATTTTGTCCTTCTAGTTCAAGAAGGAAAAGGCAAGAAGAAGTTCAAGAAGGCAAAGAAGAGTGGACCTAAAGACAAGGTTAACACCGATCCAAAGTCCAATTCTTCTAAGCTCCAGCCTAAAGGTGGAGCGGTTAAAGATTCCATTTGTCATCACTGTGGTGAAGTTGTATCTTGATTTTAGGGATGTTTGAGCTGTGCCAAATGTATTTGCAGGATAATAGGTTTGTCCCACTTTCTTGAACCATGTTGAAGGCACTCTTGAGACTAAAGTTTCCTCCTTCCCAAAGTAAACCTGAATTAGTAGTGGTGGTATGGGATGTTGCGAGAACATTAGATCTGCAAATCCTTTTCCATGTTGGAGAGTCAGTGATCCTTTCCTTAATGATTCATGTTTTCATATATCTGGCTCTCACATAGGTCCCCCATATCCCAATGTCATTTCTTGCCTTCGACCAAAGTTTAAGGGTTTATGCTTGCTGTAGGTCCTTTATGCTTTTGATCCCCAGCCCACCCTCTACCTCAGGTTTTGTTATTTGTGCCCATCTTACCCAGTGGTGCTTATGGGATCCTCCCTTTTGTCCCAACAAGAAGTTGGCCATGTAACTGTTGAGGGTGTGGGTGATAGATTTGTGAATGGTGTGGACTGCAAGGATATGTAATGGGATTGAAGAAAGAACATGTTTTATTAGTATAAGTCTTCCCATCTGGTTTAGAGCCTTGTTGTACCAAGAGTGAATAAGTTTTTCAAAATGACCCAAGATATCTTTGCAGTGTTCTTTTCTCAGAATCCCTCTACAAATAGGAGCTCCCAGATAGGTAAAAGGCAGGTTCCCTCTTTTAATTCCTAGAGCCTTCTCCATGTGCTGAATTTGGGAACTGGTTATGTGCTTTGATGTGTAGAATCTGCTCTTATTGAGGTTGATCTCTTGCCCAGAAGCCTTGAGGTATATATCTAGAGTGACCTTGAATTTAAGCAGATTTCTATTGTCTCCCCTGGAAAAGATTATAATGTCATCAGCATAAATAAGGTGGGAGGGAAATAGGACCTGGCCTGAGTTGAATCTGAGTAGGTGGTTAATGTCTATCTGCATATTGATGAGCCTACTAAAACCTTCTGCTGCTAGGATGAAAAGAAGGGGTGAGAGTGGATATCCTTGTTTTACCCCCCTCTCCATTTTGAAAAATCCTGAGGGCTCCCCATTGTGTCCCAAACAAATTTGAAAAAGTTCCCATTAAAACCATCAAGCCCCCTAGCACTGTTCCCATCCAAATCCCAGACTGCCTTTTGGACCTCTTCCATGGATGGAGTGGCACAAAATATGGAGTTGTCTTCTGCTGTAAGAATCTATGGGATAAGAGAGAGTATTAGGTCATAAGAGGGGGAGTGAGATTTCTTGAAAGTGTCTTCAAAGTAGGATATGGCTTCTGATTTGATTTATGTGAGATTTTTTGTGTATGTGCCATTGGGTTTGATGATGTGAGATACTGAGAGTTTCTTCCACTTCCCCTTGGCATATGGTTTGAAAGATTTTGGAGTTGGAATCTCCCTTTTCTAACCACATGATATTTGCCTTCTGTTTCCAGTATTGTACCTCCAGCTTGGTTGCAATGATGAGCTCAGCATTGGCTTTCTGCATTCTTTCCCTATTCTGTTGGGTTGGATTAGCCTCGTATTCAGTTTCTATTGGAATTGATTGTTCCTCAGCAGATTGTAGTTTGGAGAAGATGTTCCCAAAAACTTCCTGATTCCAAATTTTAAGTGCTGCTTTAAGGCTAATGAGTTTATTTGCCAGACCTCTCATACCTCTTGTAGTTGGCAGATTTTCCCAAGTGTGTTTTACCAAAGAATGAAAAGAGTCATGTAGTGTCCAGGCATTCGGGAATCTAAATGGTTTGGGTCCTGAAGGTAAAACTTTACTGCAGTGTACAAGGAGAGGTTTATGGTCCGAGGTGGATTTGGACAAAAGTTTGAGGGACACTTCATCATAAAAGGAAGGGAGTGGAAGGTTAGCCAGAACTCTGTCCAGTCTCCTCCAAGTTCTGCCTTGGCTTCTAACACCAGACCAAGTGAACAAACCACCTATAGGGTCAATGGAGACTAGTTTGCATTGAGAGATGCATTCTAAGAATTCCTCCATACCTTGAGAGCTTGGGGTGCATTTACCTTTGAACTCCGTGAGAGAGGCTATGGTGTTAAAATCCCCCCTATAATTCATTGGTGAGTGATTTTGCTCTTGTCTTAGAGGTTATCCCAAAGTTCCCTTCTTTCAAGGACTGTATGGGCTGCATAGACAGATGAAATGAGAAGAGGGGTTTGGTTATCTGTTTGGTGGAAGAGACTGTGGGAAACCTGGTTGTGATCTTGGAAGGAAGTGAGTGAGAGGTGACTCTCATCCCAAAAAATCCATCTCTTATTATTTGTCGAGCTGATGGCATTTGAAAAACCAAAATGGAGCCTGAAGATATCTAACTGGCTAGCATTATTAATGGGTTCAATGATGCAAAGAAAGTGAAGGTTGTGTTTCCTCTTGAGGAAAATGAGCCTGCTGAGGGAGGAACTGACCCCACAGGCATTCCAAAACAAAAGCTTCATGAAGGGGGGTTGGGAGGTACTTCCTTCCTTGTTTTGCTCCTTGTGGCATAGCCAGTATGGTGTTCAGCCCTTTGTAAAGGCATTGAAACTTTAGAGCAAAGGGAGATGTCCACCTGAAGAGGAGTGATGGGGGTTTCCTGTGCAAAAACAGGATCTCCATTAGAGTGGTAACTAATAGGTGAAATGATATCATCCTCTTCATCCTCAGGTTCCCAAGAGATGGGGGGGGACATGAAAGTCATCTTTACTTCCTGTTAATGGGGTCTGGCAATATTTTGGCTTGAAGGGGATTAGTTCCTTGCATAGGTTTTGGACTGTGGGGTAAATAAAGAAGAGGTCTGGAGGGAAGGTGGATGAGGGTAAGGGGGGCCTAGGGTTTCAATGGAGGTAAAAGAGTAATTTTTGGGACTGGATTGTGAGGGGGGCTCCTGGTGAGGGGAATCTGGGGCTGGGGTGTCTGTCACTGAGGATAGGGGTTGTGAGCATGCTTCCAAGGAGGTAATGGGTTGTCCAGTGCCAGAAGTGGTTTTGGACTGAAGTATTTGTGGAGGTTTGATAATGATTGGGTTTTGGAGATGCTTACCATGGGTGGGGGCCTTAAGCCTCAGATCATGACTCGGTTTTGGAACCTTCCTCTTGACCATTATCCATTCTTGCTTTGAACCACCCGCTCCTGAGGGGCCCACCGCTTCTGCCTGAGTTGTGACTTTCCGGCAATGGGAAAGATGGTGACCAAACCTTATGCATTTTGGACAGAAAGGTGGATGATCTTCATATGAGCAAGGTAGCCATATATATATATATATATATATATATATATATATATATATATATATATATATATATATATATATATATATATATATATATATATATATATATATATATATATATATATATC